AAAAAAATAAAAGCATATGTTCCAAGTGGATCCGACACAGCTTCTGCAAAAAAATTGAGGCAAACTTCTTTTCGCTTTTTTGAACGGATGCAGTTTTTGGAAATAACATTAGCCACAGAAACNTAAGCAACATTTGCATAATAATGCATATAATAATTTATATAATAATAATGAATAATACAGCAATTTTGACATATGTAGTTAAATATATATGTTATTTTATTTATTTAGCACCATCAACTCTTTACCATTTGAACCAGCATCACTGCCTAGTACGTCAGCATCAGATCATTCTTTATTTGACAGCAACTGTTCTGATTCGATAATCAATTTAGACGTGAGTTCACCCGAAACATCGCAACAGAACTGTTCTGATTCGATAATCAATTTAGATGTGAGTTCACCCGAAACATCGCAACAGTCAACAACGTCAAAACTGACGCACAACGAACCGATATCTGCATCTTATCTTTTTTCTTCAAATACGGTTGCATCAAATGCCAATTCATCCAGTGTATCAAAGAATAAACGAAGTAATTCACAATATGAAGTAATTTATCTGCTTAATATTTATCTGATAGAAACTATATCTTATTTTTGTTTTTATAGAGCGTTTTAATAGTACTGAAAACGAAAAGAAGATACAGGAAAGCTTATTAGAAGCTTTATGTTACCCATTAAAGCAGCCAGATGCAATCGACGGAATATTGCTTAGATTAGGTGAAGGTCTTCGTCGTTTACCTTACCGAGAAAGAACTCAATTAGAAATTCAATGGTTACGCGAACTTATGGCAGTTGAAGAACGATGTTCTAATAACTAATGAATAAGATAACTTGGTTTATTTATTATTTTGTTTATTTTTAAATTTTTATACAGTTGATCCGTTACTATACAGTTACTATGCAGTATTATATAGTTTATTGTAATTTTATTTTATGATTGCACTGAATCTAATTAAGTTACTTGTAAATTGTGCAATATGTAAATGTTTAATTATAGATAAAGTCGTGCTACAGTTTATGTAAATGTTTTTGATTATCTGTTTTTTACATTAATCATTATATTTAAAAATTATTATTAAGCACTTTATCCCATTGCCAGGACAACGCGCTAATATCATTAAAAAAATTTGTAAAATCTTCTCTAATTTTTCTAGCTGTAGCAGAATTAGAAGAACGATCTTTCGNTAGATTTCTCAAACCATCAGATATTATTGCTTGGTCTTGTGCAGTAAAATTTGAATAATGTGTTTGTGTCACATTTGAATTTCTTTCGATAATCATTATATAATTATGTAAAGCAGTTGTCGCCTGAATAATCTTTCGAACTGTAGATACAGAAGCAATTATCGGTTTTCCGTATATCCTCCATCGAGCAGCGAGTATTCCAAACGCGCATTCTATTGATCGTCTAGCACGACTTAATCTATAATTAAAAATCTTTTTTTTTATGTCGAGATTCTTTCGCAAGTATGGCCTCATCATAAATGTCGTTAACGGGAATGCATCATCTGCGACTAATACATACGGCAATTTTATATTACTATTTATAACATATTTTGCCTCAGGTAGTTGAAGCGATCCATTGAAGAATCGCTTACCTATCTCACTATTCTGAAATATTGTACTATCACATTGTCTTNCTTCACCACCGATATCCACGACAATAAAACAACAATTAGCATCGCTTATTCCAAGAAGAATGAGGCTGTGTCGTCCTTTATAATTATAGTATATGGAACCACTATTTGGTGGTGCCTGCAAAATACAAAATACAGATTATAATAAACAATTTGTGCAATTTACATATTAAATATATATTAAATATATTTTTAATAGAAACAATATTCTTTATAGAATAAAATATAAATATATTTTTTATATAATAGTTTTTTACTT